AACTGGGGTTGTTTAGTCTGGAGAAGAGGAGGCTGAGGGGAGACCTTATTGCCCTCTACAACTACCTGAAGGGAGGCTGTAGCAAGATAGGGGTCGGCCTCTTCTCCCTGGTAATGGACAAAAGGTCGAGGGGGAATGGTCTGAAGTTGCGCCAGGGCAGGTTTAGGTTAGACATTAGGAAAAATTTCTTCACCGAAAGGGTTGTCAGGCTCTGGAATGGGCTTGCCAGGGAGGGGGTCGAGTCCCCATCCCTGGAGGTATTTAAAAGAAGGATAGATGAGGGGCTTAGGGACATGGTTCAGTGGTGGGATGGCAGGGTTAGGTTAATGGTTGGACTTGATGATCTTGAAGGTCTTTTCCAACCTAAACGATTCTATGATTCTATCCTGTTATTTTGTTACTTTGGCATCTTAGATAAGCGTCCTTGCCTGCCTCCCCCCTTCTTCTTGTAAAGACAAAATATACAAACTTGCATACTTCATTCTTTGAAACAAAACTAAGAAACAGAAAGACAAACAAAATTGTATCAGCCCTTTGTCAAGTTCACCTAGTCAACAATAATCCACAAAGTTTTCAAGAAAAGTTAACACTACTTAGCATTTGCAGAAAATGCCATCAGCTTTGGATACATTTCTGGGTCACATACCCTCTGGAGAAATACATTACAGTAGTCAGTTCCCAACTCAGCTGGAGATGATCTTTGCCTTAAGGCAAATCTCCACAGCCAGCATTGCATTTGTCTCAAGAGGCAAGAAAATAAAAAAATTGCTCAAGCAGCTGTCATTTTTCTTCCTGAGCAACACTTGATCAAGACAGCAGACCACTGAAGTACTACAGCTACGTCTTTAACATACCTGTATATTTACTACTTACATTTTTTTTGCCACAGATTCATTCAAGAATTCTGCAGTAAATTCTTATTATGACTAGAGTATCTTAGCAGATAATTCGAAGTTTTAATTGTGAAGCTCTGATTTGAAACTTGTAAGTCTATCATGTTCAGCAATTACTAATAAAATGCCAACCTGAAAAACTAATTCTGCATAAACTGGGGAGAAAATTGAATTAAGATGCACTAAATCAGCCACCTAATAAAAGCAATATGGAGAAGCAAGCCAAGATGCAAGAATCTCTGGAAGTGAAAACTTTGAAGTGACAAATCTTAGACATCTATATTTTAAGTAACACAGTCAACAAATCAAAGTAATCCTTCAGGAGCTTGCAACTATTTCAAGTCTCTCTTTCATTAAATCTAAGATGAACTAAAAGGATCTTGCAAAGTGGCCACATAACCCTTCATTGATCAGCCTTCCCTTCTTGAACCTTCTAATTTACATAGATTGGCAGTGTGAAAGGGAAAGCTCTTTGAAAGTCAAATTCTGAAAGGAACAAAAATAGCTTTCTAGCTTCTTTGAATGCTGAATCGGTGTCAAAAATAGAGGAATTCAAGTTTACACTTTGAAGATGTGTTTAATGATATAATTTACTCACATATATTTTAAGAATACCCAGGCATTAAAAAAAAATTGTCCAGCAAGCTAAGCACACTTTGGGCAAAGAGTTCAGCCCCTGAGCTATTCCCCTTGGCTACCCGGCTGCTTGCTGATAGGCGCGGCATATGATTGCTCATGTCAGATCGTAAGCTATCATTTCCAGATGTCCGACAAGCCTTTACAAATTGAAACTTATGTTGAGATAGCCACAAAGGCATGCCGAGCATGAGCCTTTACACTAACAAATGTGACGATCAGGGCATCCGGATCTGGCACACTGAAAAAAAAAAAGGTAAAAAAAAAAATCACCACAACTGAAGTTAGCAGTGGCTCTCCTAGCACTGAACTGCACAATTGTCACACAGTGTGGAAGACAGACACAGGAAATACACTTTTCAGAGTTCTAGGTAACTTTCAAGGACAGACTTGTGTTCAAGGCAGAAACATGACCACCGCTTCGTAAATTTCAGTGGCTTAAAACATAGGTGAGGTATAATCACAATCATGTGATATAAAGCAATAGAGTAATCACTTAAGACCACTAGTATGTGGATCCATTGTTGCAGTACCATTTGAATAATTGGTAACTCGATTTCTTCACAGGAACAGGAAAATCAATATAGTGTTCTGCCACAGAAGAGTTTTGGAAAAATAAGACTAATTGCTGACCCAGTAAAGAACACAAATTCTCCAGCATACCATCACTAAAATCCTACCGCCAGCCAGGAGATAGGACTGAAATACTTTGCCTGCTTATGGAAAGAGCTCCATTTCTGTGGACTACATGAGATATAACAGGTCTTTAAAAACAGAGGTTTGTAAAAAGGTATCTTGTGCTTCTCTCCAATATGGTAAGGTTGACATTACACCACAGGTAAAATTTAATGGAAGTTTTTTATTCAGCTGTTGACATATTAACATGAAAAAAATCTAAATGGGTTTTTACATGTCTATACTAAATTGGAACTGTCACAATGTAACAGTTTAAAATTAGTAAATAATCAGTTCAGCACTGAAGATTTGCATCCAAAGCAATTCTAAAACCAAAGTTAATTTTTTTTAACAATTGCCTAGTCTTTCCTAACCATTTCTGTTCATTAGAATCTCTAACTAAATTTGTCATGGTTATTAGTCTGATGCTAGGACAACTCAGGAATCAAACAGCTGGACTGAAATGGGCTAGAAAAGTTACTGGGTAAGTGTTTATTACTTGCTAGAGGAAACAATTCTCACTTTCAATGATAGATTACATTTCTCAGCACATTGGTTCATAGAAATATAACAAAACATCAACTGAGCAGAGAAAGATTACAAAAAATGTAGCAAGTCAAATCCACCCAAAATTAGATCTTGGTTATGCTCATAAAACCGTCATTAATCTAATGAAATGTTGTGCTTGAAAGAGAGCTCATATAATATGCATTTATCTCCAATTTATATGAATCTGCAATCTCTGTCTGCAGTACTGAACTTCAGATCTTATCATCACAAAACAGAACATTTTCCAACAGTAATATAGTCAGTAAACAAAAGGTGATTCTAAAATGAAAAGAATCTTTAAATTGTCAACTCAAACTGTTGTTCACAGAAAACATCTTTTCTACTGAACACATAGATCCTTTACCCTAAAAAGGAACACAGACAGAATCTGGAATTGTTTTACTCCCATGACAAGGGATGCCAACACTCTAATGCTAAAGATCACCAACCCTACCAGACCCACATCTGCAGAGAAATACTGACAGTGAAGAGAAAATTCCTATCTAAAAGAAAACTTTCAAGAACTTCTACTTCTGGAAATACTTACGTAATGATCGTCGTCTCTTGTTCTTTAACTTTCTTCTTTTATTCATTCCAGCTTTAGATGGAGATTCCTCTTTGGCCTTTGGCTGGCTGGCAACTTTTGAAGAGTTCTGCTGGCTGAAGTGTGTGGGCACGTGACGGGCAAGTCCTCCCTGAGATGCAAAGCTGGCATTGCACCCACCAACTACGCACTAATGAAAAAAAACCAAACAAACAAACAAACAACAGAACAACTGTATCAGTGTGCTATACACCACTCATTCAGGAAAGTTTGACAAATCTTTCAGTTTGACTTTTCTGGCTCGGCCTCCAACACACTAAAAGAAAGACAAATTCTTAATGAACACGCAATTCTTAAAAAGAAAAACAGAAACATAATCTGAAAGAAATTTCTATCTGAACTCTCAATAATTATTCCAGAGAATAATCATCTTTTTCTATGCTATATTATATTCTATAATACTGTATAGCCTAAAACAAACTAATGCGCTGAAACTCTTCCCACAGAAAATTAATGCTTCTGAAGAACTTTCCCCTTTACAGACCAACATCCCCTTGTCTTTCAAAATACTGCACTGTTATTCTGCATTTCTCAACAGCTCTCCAATCTTCTGCATTTGGTAACATTAACGTTCTCTAACATCCTCCTTTCTTGTGACAAGGCAGAAGTAAAAAAATACATCCTTACCCACATTAAATTTGCAACAGCTTAACCCTTTTTTGTAAATGCTATACAAAGTCAATAAATAGTTATCTTACACTTCTGTCTAACTTCAGTAATTTAAAAGCTGTATTAATTATTTACACATTTGTTTTGGGATGCTACTATTACTTCAGAAGTGTCTAAGAAAGTTCATATTTAAAGAAAATAGCCTTTCTCAAACAGAAAAATAAGAAAAGGTCCAACAATTAAACAAACACAGAAATCACAAGATACATGCAACTAAGCTAGTACTGGCTACAATTATTACTGGTATTTTTATAAGTATTTGGTTTATATTTACAATTATTTTATTTGCAAAATTAGTATTTAAATTTTATGTCAGGGAGGAAGACAGAAACCTTTCCTCTTGTGCTCTGAGCTTACAAGGGTAACAAAAAAGTGATTTTAAGATATGCATTCCATTATTGGCTGCAATGAATTGTGTATCCACATGATCAATTTTTCTTCTAATCCAGAGAATAGTAGTAAGGCAAATGAGCTGATCAGCCAGTAGCAAGAAACAACTCTATACCATTGGGAAGTTCTCCTTCTTCCACATCTGTTCTGTTCCTCTCCCTCCTTCCTCTCTTTCTCAGCTCTTTCACCTATGCCCCTTTTCTCTGGCACTTCCTTTCACAGCAAACTGATGAGGCAGCTCCAACAGGAGTCCCGGAATAAGTAATGCTGCAACTATGTACAAACTGCTAAGTTTTCTCTGAAGACTAAGGATGAATTTGCAAGCCCTTATAGTAATCTGCCCTAAGCCTGCGCATTTGATTGAAAGACAAGAAAACAGTAGTAGAACACCACTCAGTATGTTTTCTCCCTAAAACCCATGTTGTTTTCCAGCTGTGGCTGCAGAACTGAAAAGTTTATTTCTGCCTCACACCTGGCAAATACTTTTCCATGATCATCATAAAACAATATGGCATCCATGAAGAGAAAAATATGTGTTATCACCAAGGACTTAATACTTGCTATAGGATTAAAAATATGTATATATATTTCAAGACAGTAAAATACAAAAAATAGGAGGACATTTTTCACATTTTTATTTGCCTTTTGTGTTTGGGGCTTTTTTAGGGGAAAAAAGACTTAAGAGAAATTTAGGGAAGTTTTCTAAGTACTGAGCTAACTACAAACATACAATTCTCTGACAAAAAGGGATCCTTCACACTGTATTTGTTCCTCCTGTCTCCCCCACTAGTAAGTATCTTAAGAAGATTTTTACCAAAAGCCTACCTATGCCTTTTTACCTTGCCCTATAATTTCCCATATTCAAGCAACAGCAATATTGTATACTTACATTGTAGTGACTTACAATGTAAGAAATCCCAGCACATCTATGAAATTCAAAACATTCAAGATCCTGATCAAATTTACACTACAGTAACCTTAATGCAAGATGTATTACTTCAAATTAATACTGAAAATTAAAATTTACACTTACAGGATAATGGAATAGTTTTGGTTGGAAGGGACCTTTAAAAATCATCTAGTTCCAACACCCACCCACCCCTACCCCCCCCCCAATGGGCAAGGACATCATCTAATAGATTAGGTTACTCAAAGCTCCATCCAACCTGACCTTGAACTTGACTGACTTAGTTGTATTAAAGATGATCAAATTCACAATCAACATATCAACATATACAGGTAAAATACACGTGTGCATTAGTTAAAAACTGGAGAATAAAGAATTGTTTGAAGTCCTTGAAATAGCTGTCTCACCCATAAAAGCAGTTTCATGAAACTAAACTAAGCAACTAAATCTAAACTTAGGTTTAACTTTCATTAAGGTGCTCCTGACTTCAGCTTTTAGCTCTTTCTGATCCTACAAACACGGACAGAAAAAGAAATGAGTGCAAAAAAAAAAAAAACCAAACCACCCATACCCTGAAGTTCAATCACACTGAGAAATTAAAATATCAGTCTTGCCACTGCCTGCTAGAGGTCAAAAACAATCTAAAGTCTTGGTACAGTGCATGCATTACCATATTCCAATTTTATTTAAGTATAATGCCAAAAGGCAATGCCTTCTGAAAATAACACATAAACTTTGTGTCAGGCACATTTCTAAAACTTTTTAAACCACAGGTTTGTAAGACTTAATTGTATTTCTTGTCAGACAGTTTGACTCACAATGTTGTAACTTGACTTTTGTCTAGTCGTGTACAAAGAAAACCAACACAAATATTCTATACAGAAGCTACCACTTACTTTTATTGTTCTGCCCAAGTTTTACTTTCAAAAGCCCCAAAACAGCATCCTTAAATCTTCAATATATGTAATTTGCAACTAGAAATTATCTTTTTCCAGAAATACTATTTATAGCCTGCAGCCACAGTATGAAATATTTGCAGAAATCATTACATTCAGATATTGTGTAGTTTGAGACTACCGGATCATGTCATCAAATAATCAACAGCTGATATATGAAAGGTGACACAGAATGCCCATGTAGTAGACAGGAAATAATAGAAGAGCAGAAAAATCTTACCTGTTTTTTTCTTTTTTTTCTCTAAAATAATATATCCAGCAATCCGTTACTAATGGGTAAAGTCTCTTCTCTCCAAAGATAAAGGAGCAGTTCAGGCTGTCACTTCAGGATCTCTGGACGGTAAGTCACACCAAATCAGCTTCCCACCAGATAATTATACAGATCTAGAGGGCTTCTAATAAATCAAACTCAGCTATTATGTACAACTTTAAATCAATCTCTTAATTTTTCCCCCAAAACCTAAATCTCAAAATTTTGCATTCAATTTTAAATATGATAGATTGGGTCCGGATTGGTGGATATGTTACTTCAAGAGAAAATAAGTCAACACGAAATAAGTTTAATTTCTCCAGTGTACCCATACCCACCATTATTAATGGGCAGTAACGAGCAGTGACTTTAACAAACAGGATAAAAATATCTAGCAAGGTTTTTTTTCTATTAAATTCAAAATAACCAAATCTCCTTTTTAGAATAGTCAATGTGTAATTTTTCCAATAAAACTAACAGTCATATTTTAGACATACGGATAAAACTTCTTATTGTCTCATCATCTAAGCGTTCAGGCAGAATGCCTTTACTTTTTCTACCTGCATCTGCAATGTGCTAATGGATAGAAGATACTCTGCCAAGAGAGTAACAGACATGAATTCTGAATGAGGACTGAAGCTGCTTGGATGTGTTTTCTAGATTTCAACAAGTGTTACTCACTGAGAGTCATCCCAAATGCAGTCACCCCTTAATGAATTCTGGAAGTTACAGGTGGTAGAACGAGCACCAAATTTCATTTTTATTATTTTCTTCCCCCCTCTTAAACAAAGGATGAAAGCCTCCAATGGACCCATGTACTGACATTTGTTGTATTGAAAGCATTTACCCTACATGAGCAAACCTTTCATAACTGATCTTAAACATTAAGAGCATACCCACTGGAATCTGTATGTGAAAGCAGTGATAGCATACCCGCGTGCAGCCTTATATTTACAAAAAATTGATGTATGTGATTATTTTGCATAAAATCCCCCACTCTTTTGTGCTCACTTTACCATTTGTCCTTTTATTGTGCCTAACATCTTGTATTTGGTCACCTAGACTACATTTTAAGAGTTCATTTGATGGGTCTTCAAGTAACTTTCAATGTGTTGTACAGCAAAAAGGCATGGCAAGTAGCACTTCTACTAGTTTAAGTACCAGAAACCATGCTGGAAAATGCAGGTTGTCACAGCACATTAACTATTCAAATAGTAAGTATTTGTAACAGCAAGTTTAGGACAAGAAAGATACAGTGAATGAAGAAATTCTTCCTCAGCTTCCCACCATCATTTTTCTAACTCAGCAGATTATTCCTCTAGATCCACCTCTCTCTACGTGTTCTGAAAGCCTGAAAGTTTTTAAGTTGCTAAACCCTCAACAGGGCCACCACTACATGTTGATGATACTCCACAACATTCCACCAGTTTCTAAAAAGCTGAAAAAGGTCTGTAATAGCAGAAGTAAAAAAAAAAAAAAAAAAAAGTTAATTTTTTTTCTCTCCACAACTCTGGATGTGAAATCATACACAAACATGAACGTACTAAATATCTTCAGAGAAACAATTACATGCTCTGAGAATACTTATATTAAATTCATGTCTACAATGCCGGGGCGGTGGGGAAAGAAAGGATGGCTAGAATCAGACTGCAATAAGCAAAGAGAAAACTTCCAGCAGCACAAGAGCAATGAACTTTGGGTACTAAGAGCAGCAACATAACTTCAAAAATAGATATCAAAAATAGTTATCAAAGAAGGGCAGCCAGTTCTCAACCAGAAACATGTTCTGGAAGACCAGTTTGTTTGTTCATTCATCTTGACCAAAAAATGGATCTAGGAAACAGTGCTTACCAAAAGTAGGATTGGAAAAGCATGCTGCTTTGCAGAAATAATATTTGACTGCAGACTGAGAACCAGCTGCAATGAATGGTAGCTATGTCTCATTTAACGGACATTTTCTTTAGTGGAGGGCTCAGTGGGTGCCCTAGGAAAAGATACTTCCATCAATAACAATACTTGGTGATGATGGCCTCAAAAAACCAAGCGAAAAATCCATCCATGTGTTCCCCATGGAATCCAAGGCCATCAGTATTAAAAACGTAGAAGAAGAAAACAAAAAAAAAAAAAAAAAAAAAAAGAAGGGAATAAACAGGAAAGCAATCTGATGACTAAAGAGGAACTGAGGTCCTAAATTCTGCCCAAAGGGCATCTTTCTTTTTTCCTCCTCAGTTCAGCAAATGTCTCCTTCTTATGAGCTGAATATACACTACCAGGAAATTGCCCCATATAAAAACAGAGCTAGCATAACAAAGGTCTCAAAAATAGGTTTTCATAAGGAAATCTACCTTTTCTGTGACACAGGTGTTGCAATATAAATGGAGGGGGGCAGACTAAACCGCACAAACAGGAAAAAAAAGAAAAGGAGAAACTTACGAAAATACGAAACATTTTGCCTTTGTAATTTAAAGTGGGTTCATTTTTGTGACGAATGAACTACCAAGTCACATAATTTATATGAATACATGTCAAGGGCAGGTAAACCCACAAAGACCTTTTAATATGACAGCACAGCAGCTCATTTATAGCCGGATACAGCTTTTAATCAAAGGACAACACCACATGTATCACAAAGATAGATAATTAAACCCAAAACAAGCAACTACATAAAATGAGTCCATCTGCAAGCAAAAGGTGACAGGACAGGGACATACCCTTCAACAGAGTAGTTCTAATGCAAAGGAGAGCTTTATGCCTGAGACAGTCCCCAACTACCTTTCAATTTAAGAAAATTCTTGTGTCTCTTATTTTGACTAGAAGTATGGGAATATAGCAACCTGCTATTTATTATTACTTATTACTCTCTTCTGTTCATTAAACAATTAGTGTTCTTTTGCCTTTACAAAAGTACATTTTCCATGCTTTTGTCACTTTCCTAGCTAACATTCTTTGCTTTCCTTAAAAATATCCTGAACAGCAGTTCTTCAGACAACAGCATACAGCTATATTATTTCCATTATTGCCTTTTACAGCTTTCCTCAAAAATCTTGACTTTTTTTTTTTAATAAAACACCAAATGACTAGGTATTTTGAGCAAGTTCTCTAAAATGACAGTTTCCTTCTTTTATGCTAGAACTCAAGTGTATTCTCATGAGGCAACAGAAATTTAATTTGTAATTTAGGTTTTGGGAGATATTTTGTCTGCTCACCAAGAGCAAGAGGTCCTTAATCCAGCTCTGACTTGAAAAAAAATGGCTTTTCCTAAAAGGTGATCAATTAAGATTTATAAGAACAGCTAAATGCATCAAACAGAAACATTTGCTCTGTTTCTGAATGACTGCCTTAAAACAATTAGTAATGGGTGTTCTTGGACTGATCAAGACTAATATCCAACACTTTCTTAATGTTTTTGTATCACAGTAGATTTCAAAAGCTTGTAAAAGAAAAGAAGTGAGGAAAGGGGGCTAGTTAATTAATAGGTTGCTATCACAGACACTTACATACTTGGCTACCTCACATGAGCCCTGAAGCCTATATTCAGCATAAATGACAGGGGAACAAAAGATGTTACAAATTTCTACTCAGACCACAATTATCCTCTATTGAAAGCCCCCAGGAACAGATTGAGAAATACAGAGATAAAAAACAAACAGAGGGACTGAAGACAACAGTAGGAAAAATGCTGAAGTGGCATACATTGAGCCATGATGATTAACTACTGCAATCCTAGCCTGTGTTTTGTTCCTTCCCCTAATAGGACCAGGAAGTAGAGAAAATCAGCTGGTGAAACAACGCAGATTTAACACAAGATGATTGTTATCAGAACTAACTGTTTTAAATTTAGGGCTCCAGCTGTAACTAGCCTAGCCAAAAAACTGGGATACCAACTTTTACTGAGTTTGCTAGGTAACTTTCACAGACTCAAAAGTACTACTGGTATTTCTGAGCTATGCCCACCTTTTTCAAACCCAATGTCTCTAAAATTGAGTTTCTTTGATCTAGACCAATTAAGTATACAAACTACCCTACTGAGAAACTTCCCTTCAAGACCAAAGCTTGCCATTATACTTTAAGGTACATAAAATACTTAATTCCAAAATGAAAAGACCTAAGGTACAAGTTTCCTCTGATGACTGGAAGGTGTGCATGTGTATTATTTTATTCGGGGATTAACACTTAAGATTAGATCAGCTGCTGGAACAATCATCTCTGCAAACTTTCAGGGATCTATGAACCTTATGCTATGCTTCCAAGAACATGCTAACCTTATTCCTTTGAACAAAGGGTATGGTAACCTAAAGAGCAAGTTTCCTGTTGTTATTCACTCTGTCAGTCAGAAATTTTCAGACTAAACTACACAGTTCAGTATGGAAAAAAGTTTAACCTTTATTAAAAAACTTTTTCACCTGCAATGCACTATTTTTACTCTGTAGGTTTTGAGTTTAGTTTTGTTTTCTGTCACAACTACTGTTATAAGCTGTGCAGGAAAGTAACTTCTGGAAGACATCACTGTAACAGAAAAGTATTTTTTAGTAATAAATCTCCCTTAAAATAAAATAAAATTAAAAAAAGCAGAAGATATTACATGAGAAGAAAGAGAGGAGAGGGAATTGGAGAAACAGTGACTAAAACTTGGTGGGGTTGAGAGTGGGGGAGAGGAAGGCATAAAATGCTACCTAAACTGAATAAAAAACCCTAATTCATTTTCATATCCTACATGGAAGGAGAACTTCAATCTGAAGTAGTGTGGGTGGGACTTACCATCAAGTGATCCAGGATTGACAGCTATGAACTGCCCCAACTGTATCCATAAGAGGATGAAGCAACTCATTAATAACGGATTGGTGGATATGGGAATGATAAACACTACTATACCTAGAATTGCAGGTACAGATTAGGGGGAGAAAGAAAGAGAAAGTTAGAAAATACTATGCAGGAAATACAGTCAGCTCAATGGTCCTGCATTCCTGACTTCCTTTTTATTCTCAGAGAGGTTAACCATAAGTAGTCAACTGTGTTTCAACTGAATTTTGTTAACAAAACCAGCTCTTATTCAAGCACAGAATGTGCACTATCAGGCATGATCCAAAGTTTAATGTGGAAGTGTAAACCATGAGGCAAAATATCTCATTGTTGCAGTGTAAGCAGCTCAACTGGAAAATGCACAAAAAAATTGAACTTCAGCACTCTTTAGACTCCCCTACCATTTATAGATTAAGAGAAACAGGGACATAGAAGCAGTAACGGTATCTTCAACTGTTTTTGTAACAGAACCGGACATTTGGGCACAATTATTGCAAAGAAGAAAGCTCAGATCACTGGATACTTTTTAAGAAATCCTCCTGTGATGGCATTTTTCAATTAAATATAATGTATCAGGAAAAATAAACAGTATCACTCTTAAAATAAGGGATGATCTATCTTACAATGAACCTTACCTTGAAAGGTTTGTCCCCACTGTGTGTCAGCATATGCCTCTGCAACCAACTTTGACTTGTTGAAGGTGTATTATATACTTTGCAACCTTTCCACAAGCAAACAAACACCTAATAGAGTAAAAATGTGGTAAGTTTACACAAGTCAAAGAAAACTGTAAAAAAAAAAAAAAAAACAAAAAAAAAAACACCACAAAAAACCAAACTCAAACAGATTAGCAAAGAAGCCTGTTTTCACAATACAAAATACTTCAAAGAATTTTGAACAATAACCATTTATTTTGTAAGATGCTTCTCATGCCTCTCCAAGGAAAAAATAATTACAACCACAGGTATTCAAAAAAGGAGATCACTGTGTGGGGGGGAATCAAAAAACAGATGCTCCTGCAGATAAACGCAATTGAGAGCCACAGCATCCACTGTAAAGAGTTTGGGTTTGCACTCAATATCTGTATCCACCAATATTAAGACAAAGCATTTTTAAATCACAAATTTACATTTCCTGAGTAGCAGAAATAAAATTGTTTACTCTCATAAGCAAGTAACAATTTTATTATTTGAGCGTGAAAAAATAAAAACTCTTAAATACAATATAGTTGTTTAGGTAATAGAGTTTTGTATTACGGAATAGTGGACACCTCCAGTTAGGGCCTTACACTCAATTCCCAATGAAGAAAGTTACAATTTCTCATAGGATTCAAAGTCTGTGGGCGTTTTGTGATTCCAGTGTACAGATCAGTCACATGCACAATAGTGCATTAAGGGGAGTAGAACTTACTCAGGCTGCTTTTCTCTCTCCTCTCATTGTGTCTATCCATAACTGAGAGAATAAAAAAGCTCAATGAACTTTGCCTTTCATTAGAATCTCCTCAACAGGCCTATGCGTGAAGGGAGGTATAGCCCTGATTTGTAGCAGCAAATTACAGTCCCCAGGAATAGCATTGTCCATAATACAGGTTTTCAGAACTGCAGGAAACTAATTGGATTTGAGTTTCTTGTTCTCCTTTGGAGATTAAAAAACTCCATCTTCAAAAGACTGTATTTTTCAAAACAAAAGAGCAGCCACAGGAGTGCTAGGTACTTTCTGTATAGATAGATATAGATAACCCAGCTCACTAATACAAAGCTGCAAAACCCTGCATGTCTGTATGACTGATTCACATCTACTGACACATAAGGCCCAAGCCCCTAAACCTTTGATGTCTGCTGCTCCCCAGTTTTGAGATCCCCCTGAAGCCACAGAATTGGCATTTCTAAGATTCCTGGCTCTGCAGCAGCTCCATAACTGTCCACATATTTTAATCAGCAACTGCAGGGCACTCAGCAAAGGAGTACTACCATGAAGTCATCAATTGTGGAAATGCTCTAAAAAACAAGCACTTGGGTTTCACAACAACCCACCAGAAGTCCAGGCAAGGCTTCCTGGGAACCCTTGTTCTGAATCCAAAATATTTCTGAAAAAAGTTTTTGGGAGGTAAAACTATTTTGTCAAAATTTTCCTGGGCTCTTCATGGATCTATCTGGTTTGGATCAATTATCTCAGTATTATCTTGAAAATACATATTTTACAGCCCAAGGATGCTTACACATTGCTTTCAAGCTCTCAATAAGCAGTTACTACTCCCACTTTTCTTCAAATTTATAGTCATTGTAGTTGAGGAATATCTGAAATCCAATCAAAACCACAAGAATATAATTTCCAACACCACTTAAACACCTCGCCAGCAGGTGGCAGGCAAAACCTTGAAACAAAACAGCCAGGCTCAGTCCCTTTCCACAGCATCAAGCTGAAGAACTTTTCAAGAAATAAACCAACTCCAGTAGGGGGATAAAAAGTGTGAACTGAATGCAACAGTTATTAGACACCTGGTGCTTCCAACAAGTTCTTCTTTCAGAAAGACAAATATAGTCTAACATTTTCTAAATAAAAAGATCCACAAATCGTGTCACATGAAATGTAAGTGAACAGAAATACAATTTCAAAAAAAAAGTTATGTGAAAGCCCAATGGATGATGATACACCTCATCCATTTCATTGTTTCATCCAGGATCCATACAACACTTTCATAAATCTATGAACTGAACTACAGAAGTCATCTCATGGGTGGCTAAAAAGCCAGCTCACTAGATTGATGATTCTGATTAGAACTTGCAATGAAAAAAGTCACCAAATACGAAGCTGAAAGTTCCATCATACCAAAAACACATTAGCTAAATACAACCAGAATCACAGCTATCTCAGTGACACAATTACATAATAAATTATTTAAGGTAATGCAAATAAGCGTTTTATTTAAGTCTCCTATCCTCTCAAGATAGAGTGTAATAGCCTAACATTTTACTGCTGATGAAGTGACAGAACACAAAGTCAAAAGATAATGACTATTCTAAGTTAAAATTTCATATTAGCTCTCCAAGAAGTTAAAGAGCTGCAACATACAGTGCTGAAGGAAGACAGATTGTTTGTATTTCATGTGAAGGTAATTTACATGACATATTCCACACATCAAAGGTAATCTGGAAGGTTGGGGAGGGGTGGGTAGTTAAGTACAGAGTTGAAATTACACTATTGGAAGGTGTTTTGAAACATTAAAATTGTGAGACCAACGGAAATTGCATAATTTGGCTGGGGATTAGACTGAAATATAAATGATTATTTATGTACCTCAATTTAAAAAAAAAAAAAAAAAAAACCACCAAAAAAAACCCCATCCCAAACTAGATGCAGTGAGGCTGCACCTTAAATACTGTGTTCAATTTTGGGCTCCTCACTGCAAGAAAGATGCATTGCTGGAAAACGTCCAGAGGAGAGCAACAAAGCTGGTGAGGGATCCAGAACACAAGTCTTATGAGGAGTGGCTGAGGTAACTGGGGTTGTTCAGCCTGGAGAAAAGGAGGCTGAGGGGAGACCTTATCACCCTCTACAACTACCTCAAAGGTGGTTGTGGTGAGGTGGGTGTTGGTCTCTTCTCCCTGGTAACAGGCAATAGGACAAGGGGAAATGGCCTCAAGTTGCACCAGGGCAGGATTAAGCTGGACATTAGAAAAAAACTTTTCAATTAAAGGGTTGTCAAGCATTGGAACGGGCTGCCCAGGGAAGTGGTCGAGTCATCATCCCTGGAGGTATTTAAAAGTCACGTAGACAAGGTCCTTAGGGACATGGTTTAGTGGTGGGATGGCAGTGTTTGGTTAATGACTAGACTCGATCTTAAAGGTCTTTTCCAACCTAAACGATTCTATGATTCTGTATTGAAGGTATACTTGCCATCAGTACTACAGACAGTTGTTTTGGTAAAACTTTGCACTCTCAGAGAGTCAATGAGTTTTACATCTTCCCTATTATACATTCTGTATATATTCTACCTCTAATGAGGCTCCATTCGTAAAAGTAATCAAGATACAACTTCACCTGAGTTCACATGCAATAACATGTACACTAACAGTTTTCAGAAAATTAATTCTGAGTACAAACACTTAAAGATATACCAACAACTTCAGGATGTTGAGAAGTTAGCACATCGATCAAAAACCTGATAGCTTCATATCATTTATTAAAAAGAACTTGCTACACTCAAAGTGAGGCACTCAATTAAACACACAGAATACCAAATCAAACCTCTGAACGCCTAATACCAGACTGCTGAAGGCCCCAACCTTAGTTGCCACTAGCTACAGAACTAATGCTTCTAAACAAAAAATTTGCTACTGTCATTGAAGAGTAAAATATTGGCAACTAAGAAAGAGGGAGAAAACAGAAAGCAACACCAACCCCTCCTCGTTGACCATCCACATGTATGGAGCGAATGTGATCTGCCAAATCCGGGCTGGAGCTGAAGCAAGCATGGCAATGGTCCCAACAACAGTTGTAAGCAATGCTTTTTGCAGAGGAGGCGGGAACTCCTTGTCCATTCATCATAACCGGAGTTGAACGCCCACTGGAAATTGTGCTGTCTACATCCATAATAGTGCTGCTTATGCTGTAAGATGGAAAAGAAAAAAAAAAAAAAGAAAGAGTTCTTATTTGTTGCACATTAACAGAACAAACAAAAATCTTAGCTCTCTGGGGGTCTGTTTCAGATACATTTAGACAGGTTGAAAAGAAAATCTGACACAAACTTACTATTTATTGTGGTTCATCACCCTAACTATAACAAAGGTACAGTCAGGAAATAACTACTATTACTCAACAGTATAACAAAAGGAAGGGATGGAAAATTCTCCCATTCACTGACTTGTCAGAAAATTAACTCTCATGTGATTAACACAGTCATTTTTAAGCTATATTAAACAGCTATTCATTATTTTTATTGCCCAGGAGAGAGAAAAACTAAAAAAAAGGGGGGGGGGGGGGGGGTACGGGACATGGATGACAGACAACACCAGGACAGGACAGGACATGCTGGGTCAAACTGGAGATGTATATAGCCCAACATCCACTGCTAACACTAGATCCATAAAAAGAATACAGCAGTGAAGTTCTGCTGAAGGTTTAAGGCACTTCCGCACTTGCTCCAACATGGCGTCAGTCACATACATGGTCTAATGCTTTTTGTTTTGGATTTTTTTGTTTGGTTGGTTTGGTTTTTTGGGGTTTTTTTTAAAACTTCCCAGAGAAGCCAGCAGCAGCAGTGGGAATATGTGGCCAGCAGCAGCCATTAACATCAACTGTTCTGCTCTGCATCTTGACAGACACAGAGCCAAGTATCAAACTGGAGGGGGGTGGGGCGGGCAGAAATTATGGAGACAGATGGATGGTCTTCCTGGATAAACATTAAATAGCTACTGATATACCTTTTTTTATACCTTGTGAACCTGATCACTGCCTTTTAGGTCCTTTATGTTTTTGTCCTCCACAAAGCCACAGCATTACAGAGCAGCTTATCTTTGAAAGGCCCTCTGAAAGTCAGGTGGTCAAATCTCCTGCTCAGACAGGAGCAAGTGAGATCAGACTGCTTGTGGTCTCGTCCAGTTGAGTTGTTAATGGGTGTGTTCAAAGGCTGGAGTTTCTGCTACCTTTCTGAACAATTTTGCCAATGTCTGATTAACCTTGTATGGGGGAGGGGGAAAATCTCCCAACATCTCATCAGAATTTCCAATGTTGCAACTTCTGCTGTTGCCTCTCATCCTTGGCAGCTGTAAGATTGAAATGACTCTGGCCCCTCCTTTGCTAAACCTCCCTTTCAGGTCATTGAAAACAGCAATAAACCTGCCCTTATCCTAGAACTGAAGAAACCCAATCTTTCAGCCTCTCCATATATAGCATTTGCTTCATCCTCCTAACCATCATGGAGACCCTCCACCAGATCCTCTCCAGTGTGTTAATGTCTAGGCTGAGTCCCAAACCGGACACAGCAATCCTGACATCGTCTTAATTCACCTCTACAGTATTTATAATTTTATTTTATCATATGCCTTTACTCCCCCACCTCTTGCACATAATTACTATGCTAAAGCATCCTGCTTTTAAAGCTATAGGTGCCGTTCTAGATTTTTGACCATCACTGTTTACATACCCATTATTGTTCTATTACACATTTTGAGAAGGAAGAAATAAAAACTACACCATTATTCAAAACTTGAAGATATCATTAGCATGTTTGCTCTTTTGCTCTAAAAGCCTTTACTAGCAGTTTCTCACATTATTTTTTTAATCACTACTGTGCTAGCAGTTTTTTCCTGTGATAAATTTTGAAAACATCATAGATATTTGCCTTGTTTAGATATCTACCCCTGAACCACCATGGGGATTCCATTGCACTTATCAATATAAAAATGTCTTGCCTTAGTCAAAATAACAGATTCCCTTTAGCAATCCTTTCCAGTTACGCTTTAGTTTTAACTCTCCCAAGTAATTTGGTTTCATGAGCAAATTCTGATCTTGGAGATACCAGCAAGGTAACATTTATGAAAATTCTGACTATCATATCCCAAGTGCAGATCCCTTAAAAATCATCTTCCAACATATTAGTCTCCTATTATTAAAGCTGACCAATTATTCCCAGGCCTTTGTTTTCCAAGTTAAAAAGGAAGTTTTAGAGACTTCTCAACAGATTTTTTTTTTTGCTTTAATGAACGTATATCAAATACACACTTCCTGAACACTATACAAGTGTCACATGCTTCCCTAACACCCACCCTGCCCAATTTCAGAAAAAGATCTAGTAATTTACAATGCATGGCTCCTACCCATGAAAGTCATACGGGCTCTTTGCTGCTACACAGCATTTTTCCACGTGCCCACTATTTTTGTCTTCTTCCCTTTTCTATACCCTGAACACACACAGCTTTCCATGATCCATCCCTGCCTCCCCCTTCCCCTCATCAAAGCAATCCCAGTTCCTCTCATGACATATAAGCTCACAATCTGCGATGAGCAAATAAAGAATAGGTGGCCAACAGAAGCCTACAGATATGGTTTTGTATCTGTTCCATATTGCTGCCTTTCCCAAAAAGCTTATTTTATATTCACCAGAAACTACCAAGAAAATGCAACTAGCAGTGAGCTGAAGCTACCAGTCCCAACAGCATTAACAGCCACTAACTACAATTACTGGTAACAGTAGCTTAGAATCCCTCTAGGAAATTGTCAGAAGCTTTAAGTGCAAAATATGTGGCAAGCAATCCCAGTTTTTCCACCGTGCCAGGCCCACAATAGATATAACTAGGGGACTGACATCCCCTCCTTCCTCAGCTGATGTCTTAGCCCAAAGTTATCCCCAGAAGTAAAATCTGTAAAACTGTGTTATGAAAGCAAAGTTTACCAATAGGATAATAGGAAAATGGAAGAAATAATTAAATGTGGCCCCCCACACACCTGAGTTTGACTTATCAGTTTTCTCAAAATCAGTACTTAGAAATAGGTTTGAACGCATACAAGATGGCACATAGCCCAACCACTTCTGTCGCATACAGTAATGTTACACAGATCAGTGGTTCCAACAGGAAGTTGCTTAACCAAGGATGGCAAAGCACTGCAGATACAGCATTCATGCAATAGCTGCCTCAGACCATTTCATGGGGACAAGTAACCCTAACTTGGTCACAGTCAAAAGGTACCAAAGTACAAGTACCTTAAGTAGGAGATCAAACTTGCAAGCTATTTACAGTCAGTCTGAGTTTCTACATCCACTGTTAGCATGAGTACCATTCTCAAAAACCCCACAAATAGGCATAAGCAAACTTCAGACTAAGAAGAGATATAGTGCTGGTGACCACAAGATAGACTATGAAGGGGTATTTAGCATAGCTCTCTCAAGGGTTCCCTGGTTTTACAGCCTGGTCTTAAGTACAAAAGCAATGAGAAAACATAGACCAGAACGAGTTCTGTGAAAGGATGGGGGGAGAGAAGGAGGGCAAAAGTGCGCACTGATGCACATGTGTGGTTTCTCCGGTTCACAGGCATGCAATCTGGCTAATTTCTCTAAGCAGAGATAAAAAACTCAAATTGATGAACCTGTAGCATGAGAATTTCTTTCAAATTGCAAATGCAATGCAACATACCTTGACAACCTTATGATACAAAATCACAGGTCTCTAATTTTACAGCCTAAGGAATGCAAATACTTAGGCTTTTTCACATATATATACACACACACTATCCTACCTGCAGAAAATTACTCTTTTTTTTGAGAAAAACATGTAAAGTCAACTAGTAATACTAATCCAGCAAAAGATATGCTGATTAGCAGGGTTATTAATGACATAAGAAGCCAATAACACTTAAAGCTGATTCAGTTATAGTTTAAATGTTTGCTTGGTTTGGTTCTAACAGCCTAAGTGTTTGCTAAGGGCTAACAGATTAGAGTTGCATACATAGTATCAAAATTTAGTATCAGAGGAACTGGAATAAAAAAAACATTGCCTGTAGCACTTAAACCAAGTAGTAGCATACAGAACTTCTTGGAAATTGAGGATGAATTGGACTATATGATTCTATAAGCTATTCAAGATACAGTCTAAAAATGGAAGAAAATTAACTCAAATACAGTTAAGTGATAACAGAACAGTATTTTATTTAATAAGGAATGCCTTCCTTTCTTCTAGTTTAATGTCTTGTACAAAGTTCTTCAAACAGTACAGACGAACATTGCTGTAAGATGATGGTAAGTTTCACAGTCAGAGCTGTGGCGGCTGCTGCTAAGTCTGTGAAGACTTAACCACAACACTGTTTTTGTTAGACCTGCTGATTCACCCACTTTTTTGTTTCTTGGGATTTCAAAAAGGGTATGAGGACAGGGCATACAAGTAGGTAAGATGTGTGCAGGCACTCCACCACCTTACCTCATCCACTTGAGTCTTTTCCTGACCAAAAGAGTGGAAGCATGTCAACTCAGCCCAAGAAGAGCTGGACTACTAAAATAGTGTCTGTATATCTTTCAATCTATGAATGGGGCTTTTCAATCCAACCTTTCTATCTGCTTGGGATGATCCAAGAGGGAAAAGTTCCCTAACAAAGGGAAGGTAGCAATGGCAATCACATCCTTCTTGCTTTCTCATCTGAAACCCACAAAGCCTGTAAGTGGGAAAGTAATAACATGTATCAAAGAGGAGAAAATAGAACAAAGTATGGAAAACGTAGACATTCTGGCAAACTACTTGTAACAAAACAAGGACATTGAAACAAATTTTTAGCTAAAAAAGTAAAAGCAAGTTTTTCTGTCTTTTTCTAAGCCCTTTTTCCCCAGCTGGGAGATGTGCTTAAATCCTGACTGCCGCTATCAAAGCGGAATGACACAAGTAGAACTGAAGCGCTTGTGGCATTCCCCTATTGCTAGTGACAGACAGGTCTGGGTTTGCTCCCAAGCTGTAAGCAGGCTCCAGCTCCATTGTAATGGATCTATAGACCATAGCCTGATGAAGAACATTAGACATTTGAGTTTCAGAGAGTTCAACTCAGGGGTCATCCCAAAAAATAGAGCATCAAAAACAGTCACTGCTGGAGAGAGCCTGCATACACAATAGCTGTTTTTAAGAAG